ATCCACCGTTTGGGACCCCTCAACTCAAGAAAACATTAAGAAACTGGAACAAACACAAAATAGAGCAGTGAGATTCATAACAAACGAATATTCACATTTGACTAGAGTAACACCATTAGTAAAATCACTAAATTTAGAAAGCCTTCAGGACAGAAGACTCAAAAGTAAAGTAGCAATTATACATAAAACACTGAACCATAATCTTCAAATACAAAAACAAAACTTAATAAAATACTCTGAAAGACACAAAATAAAGGCACATTCCTTGTCCCCTATGCTAGGACAAATTTGTACAAATACTCCTTCTTCCCTAGTGCTATTAGAGCATGGAATGGGTTGCCTGAGCTAGCCAGAAAACCCAGTGACTTGGCAGAATTTAAGTCATTGGTTAATATGCATGACTAAATGCATGACGCGTAGGACGTAATCATCTTCTTTTTTGAAGTAACGTCTGTATTACATAAGATAAGAAGAAGATTTTAGCCTATTATAGTAAGAGCATAAAGATCTAAATGTACCGGGTTATCATTCTGAATAAGTCTTATTATTTGGTTTATATATATATATATATATATATATATATATATATATATATATATATATATATATATATATATAGGCTATGCTTTCACAAGAACCTCAATTCAATCAATGTCGTAAACAAGAAAATACACGAAATACAGGCTAGGCTAATTACTCTATATTGTCTAAGAAAATCAGTTATAAAGCTTTACAGTTATAGATCTAAGTCAGAAATTGATTTGTACACTTACCTCTATAACATCTTCTATAACAATTCAATTTCCATTCATGATTTGCTGTAAAAGTGGTGGTAATAATCTTCGGGAATGGTTTCTTTATATAGTAAAAAAAAATCTACCGGAAGTCAATTTACCATGCAACCAAGGACGCCTCCGTGAACGGGACTTGTTTATTGAAAAATATAGGCTTAGTGCGTAGAGTTGGCAGTCCAAGTAATATATAGTCTATGGTTTGAGACGCGATTGTTAGACTTAGACGTGGTTCTATCCGGCCCGCCGAAACTTCGGCACAAAGTGTATAAAATCCACAGTCCACAAAGAAAAAAAAAAAACTTTAAAAAATATCTTACACTACGTTTAGGTAAATGGGTTGGTACCATTTTTTTTTCAAAGAAAGAGTGGTCCTTTTTAAAGAGCATTTCTTCTTCTTCTTGGAACTGCTATGCAGAGTTGAGCCTTCGGCTCTTGGAACTCCAGGTCAGCAAAAGTGAACTAGAGCTCCCTTTCACCGGCCTGAATGAGAACAGTGTACACTGTTCTGTCTGGCGGGGTGTCAGACTCGCGGCAAGAGTCCGCGTGCACAGGGACCCCTGCCATTTTCCTTTTCTATACCAGGCTAACCGTGTAGGACACGCCATTTATGTAACGGCCCCTTGGGGAACGGCGCCTGGATTGTGACAAGGTTGTGGAAGCTTTTTTACAACTCCGCACAGTGCAATGAGGATGCTCTCGCACCCCCTTGGGCACCCCCAAGGGAGTCTTGTTTTGCTACCCTTTAGCCTAATCGTTTCCTCATACGATCGCTTCCCCCCGGGCGCCACTATGAGGCAGGGTAGCATGCCCGGGTTTAAAGAGCATAAAATTAAACAGATTTATGAAATCGCACAAGTAAATAATGGTTTCTGACGAGATTGTAAAATGAAACCTAGACTGAAGAATTGAGAATATTTACATAAAAGAGAACAAAGTGAGTAGGCTGTAAGGCTATCTTCTGTAACCGCTGACGAGTCTCACGACATATCTGATATCTCTCAAAATCCTTGTATTTATTCGAGATAAGAGTAATAGTCTTGAAATCAGAGTAGCTTTAGCTATTAGGAGAATTGGATCATCAGTGGCGAAACACTGTCAACGAAGTTTCAACCATCACAGAGAGTCTTTCTCCCTTCTAGAAATTAGTGAGAGTGACTACTGATGGTGCCACACGTATAGCTATTAGAAAAGTTGTCAAGTCAAATGGAACCGAGCCTCTGTGGTTTCGTTCACCTACAAAATCAATGTGGCAAGATGTTCAGTCTGGACCATCTGATGATAATGTTCAGACTGAACTGATTCGTCGTTTCTAAAATCCATCTGCGGACGGACAATGTATTAAGTGCACAGGCTTAGCTAACAAAACTAGAACATTCCTACTTGACAAATTTGAAATGATGCAGACAATTGATTTGTAATCCGTGTTGCTTGATGAAAATTTTCTAAATCTCCGAAAACAAGCTTCACGGATGATCACAGTAATTACAAGCAATCATTAGTTTGGACAAACCTTTTCAGTGATGAATCGTTCGCAATCCATGTTACGTTATCGTCTCATGGAAGAACATCTCGATACGTTCCTTCGACTTGATGTCTCATGGAAGAACATCTCGATACATTGCTGCGACTTGGCGTCTCATGGAAGAACATCTCGATACATTGCGTCGACTTGGCGTCTCATGGAAGAACATCTCGATACATTGCTTCGACTTGGTGTCTCATGGAAGAACATCTCGATACATTGCTTCGACTTGGCGTCTCATGGAAGAACATCTCGATACATTGCTTCGACTTGGCGTCTCATGGAAGAACATCTCGATACATTGCTTCGACTTGGTGTCTCATGGAAGAACATCTCGATACATTGCTTCGACTTGGCGTCTCATGGAAGAACATCTCGATACATTGCGTCGACTTGGCGTCTCATGGAAGAACATCTCGATACATTGCGTCGACTTGGTGTCTCATGGAAGAACATCTCGATACATTGCTTCGACTTGGTGTCTCATGGAAGAACATCTCGATACATTGCTTCGACTTGGTGTCTCATGGAAGAACATCTCGATACATTGCTTCGACTTGGCGTCTCATGGAAGAACATCTCGATACATTGCTTCGACCTTGCGTCTCATGGAAGAACATCTCGATACATTACGTCGACTTGGCTTCTCATGGAAGAACATCTCGATACATTGCTTCGACTTGGCGTCTCATGGAAGAACATCTCGATACGTTGCTTCGACTTGGCGTCTCATGGAAGAACATCTCGATACATTGCTTCAACTTTGTGTCTCATGGAAGAACATCTCAATACATTGCTTCGACTTGGCGTCTCATGGAAGAACATCTCGATACATTGCTTCGACTTGGCGTCTCATCTACTCAGCCGATTATTTAAAAGTTGTTTAGGATAAACTTCTAATAAATTAATGTAAATACTAGATTCACGGGTTTCTAATAAAAATGGTTTAATTGTCTATTTCCCAAATAATTCCCGAACCCCTTTTTTAAAACCTTTTTGTTGATGTGGCCCGCGACACGAGTGTTGAAGATTAAAATGGCCCGCCGGCCGAATAAGGTTGAGCATCACTGGATTGGATTATTTACTAGCAAGGGAAACGAAACAGAGTTGTTCACATGGTAGGAGATTTCAATATGTCCCACACGGCACGATAAAACCTTGGACATGTGTTATAGCAACATAAAAATAGCCCACACATCTCGATCGTTATTTCCCCTCGGAGAGTCCGACAACACAATGGTCCATCTTACACCCACGTACAAACCGGTTTTAAAAACAACAAAACCCGAAGTATAGTCCATCCAGCCATGGTCTGACGACGCTGTTTCACAGCTACAGAGTTGTCTGGAGCAAACAGATTGGGACATGTTTGTAAACAACTGCCCAGACAGATGAACTTACAACAACTGTTAATTCGTACATCCAGTTCTGTGAAAACATGATTGTACCAAAGAAGAAAATTCAAACATTCAGTAATAATAGACCCTGGATGACCAACATTAAAAATTAACATTCTGTAGTCATCGAGAAGTACATAGAAGTCTATTTATAAAGCGTTGTTTATGAGTGTGTGTGTGTTTTTCGTATGAGAATGTCGTTCGTATGTGCATCTATATTGTTATTGTACAATAGTTACACTGAGGTGGTCAAACCGAATTTCCTTTTGATTGGATCAATAAATGTTATCTTATCTCTATCTTTATCTTATCTTATAAAATTCAGACGTTACTTGACTTACTTCAAAAAATACCATTATTTGTCCTACGCCTCATGCATCTAGTTATGCATGTTAACCAAATTCTGCTGAGTCATTAGTTTTCCTGGCTGGCCTCAGGCAATCCATTCCATGCTCTAATAGCACTAGGGAAGCAGGAGCATTTGTACAAATTTGTCCTAGCATATGGAATGAGAAATGTGCCTTTAATCTTTGTGTCTTTCTCAGTAGTTCATGAATTATATTACGTACATGGAGATTCATGAACTTCTAATCAAAATGGTTTATTGTCTATTTCCTTTTTTTTACCTTTTCGTTGATATGGCCCGCAAAAGAGCTGACAGCTCAGCAGCAAAAAGCTGGCTAGAAGAAGAAGAAGAATGTGGCTCGCGACATAAGTTGAGCATCACTGAACTACATGATCATTTCATCAGTTTGTTTATTGTTTTCGGTCTCGACTTGGTCAATTGCAAGCCTAAGCACCCCAAGTGAATCCTTTATATTCCCTTTACCCATCTGTTGACATTACCCATTCTGTAACTTATGATGCTGACATTGGATCTATGGAGAGATGATGTAGCCTAATGGTCACTGTTTCCACAGCCAACAAGGTATCGTGGCCAGCACAACGACCAACTGATTTTACTTTTCCCAAACTAATGTCTTATGCCCAGTTTGTTTAGGTGTGCTCAGGCGCCCTACACAATATCCCAGTCTTCGAACCCGAGACCCCTCGATTCAGAAGCCAAACGCTTCAGCCACCACACCCTCTCCAAAGATGCCTAGTTCTGTAACCAAAAACAAAACAAAACAACAAGACCAGAATGTTCAGTTCAGAATGTTTAATTGTAAGTATTGCACAAACAGAACTCTGTCCAATGTACCTATTTATAACTTGGCCAATGACATCTCCACAACTCTTGGCCTTAGTTTGCACAAGCAATAAAACGAACAAGTTCATACAGTTGCAGGGGGGGGGGGTGATCTCAAGCATTGCCGTTTAGTTATAACAGTGTCGTATCTTCTGGTTTCAGCCAAAACTAGATACAAAAGTACACCATGGTCTAACAAGCCATGACTCTACAAATTTCAAGTCTATAAAATATCAAAAAGATATGTATAAAAATTTATAATTGTGGATTTCCATTAATTAAAAACATAAACTTCCTAGGAAAAAAAAATTACTTTTAATTACATTTAAGAATTTTGTTTAAATTTACATAAACTAAAGGTTTTTTCTTTCACTGTGAGAAGCAAAACAACAACCGAAACAAAAACGAATCCAATCCAAATTTTAATGAATATTTCTCATTCTTTCATTCATTTTCATTTTGAAGGATGAACTTTAAAACATGAGTCCTGATTTAAAAAAAAAAAAAGGTTCCATGTTTGATATACATCCTACTCGATAGGAAAATATTATTTGCTGATGAGAGAGATAGCTGCTGAGATGATGTAACTATAAGCCAGTCTGTCCTTCATAACAACTCAATGTAAGTCAGGGCTATGTTTTAGTTGAAAGCACAATATCAAGAGTTGCATAATGCTGGCAACAAGCTGAATACTTAATGAAGCAAAATCTAATATCAGCGACATAATGTCTCATCTAGATAGAAGTACACAAACACATTCAATAGATTCCATACATATTAGGACATAACTAGGTGTTGATAGCTGCTTAAAAAATGTTCTTAAAATCTTAATTCCTATTCACTAACGAGACAAAGCAAGTCATTTTAAATTGAGCATTATGAATGACAAGTAAATGTGCGATACGTTGGCTGTGGAGATTTATTATACAGTTCAGTGACAATATCAAATGTGATCTCTACTAGAGGGCCAACAGAAAAAAACCAGGATACAAGTTTGAAGACATTTAATTGTAATGAAAGCACATGGAGAAAGTGATCAGTCTCAGAGAGACGACCAAGACATAGAACCAGGATAAGTGATCAGTCTCAGAGAGACCACCAAAACATAGAACCAGGATAAGTGATCAGTCTCAGAGAGACCACCAAGACATAGAACCAGGATAAGTGATCAGTCTCAGAGAGACGACCAAGACATAGAACCAGGATAAGTGATCAGTCTCAGAGAGACCACCAAAACATAGAACCAGGATAAGTGATCAGTCTCAGAGAGACCACCAAGACATAGAACCAGGATAAGTGATCAGTCTCAGAGAGACCACCAAGACATAGAACCAAGGATAAGACAATGAATTACAAAACAAAGATTCACCTTTCTCTAATGCTGTTTAGAACATTAAAGCACAGAAAAATGTCAATAAAATGTCTCTCATACTGTATTATACATACAATGATTTCTACCACACACCCATTGCACTTATGGCTATGACAACCCGTGTATCCTGCAATCATCAAAAGTTGCTCACATTTTTGTTTATTTATTTCATTTCTACTGGTTCATGTTTTGCTGCTCACTGTCATGGAATTACTCTACATTCAGTCATCACATTCATTTGATCTTGCCTGTACCCACTATGTCATACATATACACTCAGTCATCACATTCATTTGATCTTGCATGTACCCACTATGTCATACATATACATTCAATAATGACATCAGTTGAACAGAATCAAGCCAATAACATCACATAATGAAATAATCATCCTGCAATCATCTTTTATCATTTGCTGAGTGAAGCCAAAGGTCCATAAATAAGGTTGGGATATGTTTGTGTAAACAACAAAATTTATTTATAATATTTTCATCATCAAATTTTACAGCAAGGGCTAGAATTGTCTATGGTATATGAATATGTATTCCTATCTCATTTTTTGAAGTCAAACTAAGTCATGTTTTTAAATAGATAAAGTTTGTAAATGAAGGTCAGTATGCCACAGTAAGTCCCTGCAATCTATAGAAGTAAAGCTCAACTGTGGAAGGTAAACTAAAGGCAGGATGAACCACACTTCTATAGTTCAATTGCATGGAAAAATTGCATCATGGCAAAGTCATGTAGCTCCCAAACAAGTGGCTCTCTAACAAGCCAAAAGGAAAACAAATTGTTTTGTAACATAATGAAGCATTAAAAAAAAAGCAAAATTATTTCTAACATTGGTTCACTATAAATCTACAAGTAGCCACAAGCATTAATTTGAAATTATTTTGGACAAAATGAAGTGGCTTAACAATGGCAGATCTTTTGGATACCTCACACCACTGACCTATGAAAAAAACAACATAAGCTTGACTTGGACAATGATAACACAGTGAAGGTTCCAAAGGCACAGTGGCAAGATGTGTTGGTCCTTAAGGTGACTAGCTAAGGAGGAGATGGGGAAGCAAGGAGATGCATGGGCTAACTGGCATGGACAAACACAAATACTTAAGTTACATAATATAATGTATACATGTTTAATATTTACACATGTAAAGTGTTACTGTAATCTTCAAGTTTTAACATTTATGAGATGGTGTTGGCACAAAACAATGAAGATGGAAAAAAAACAACAATGTCTAATTTTTTTTTTTGGTGCCCAAAGTTGTGGAAACTTCTCCACAGATGAAAGACAAGGTGTCAATAATGTATTCAAACGGACTTTCTTTAGTCTGGCATCACACACAACACACACACACAAGATAAACAGCATCCTGTTCTTAAAAGAGATGGATATTACTAAGGCACGAAGAGCCTAATATTTTTTCATTGGATATCTACCATTATGGAATCTCAGAGACTGGACTTGTCCAATACAACACAGCGGTTCAAGTCAGAAATAAACAAAATAGAAATATTGTGCGGCTAAAAGTTCTCTGTAGGGCATAGAAGACATCACAAGTTCTGTACATAAGAGCATTAAAGGCTTAGCACAAAAGTCTTCTTTTTAAATCAGTCTTCGTTAAAAGCCAGCAGTCGTCTTCATAATCCCAAAATTAACATCTTTGCATAGGACATTTAACAAATGCCAATTTCCATTCTTCCAGATATAAAGAATATTGCATTTTAGGCTTCTACTATTGAAGTAAGCTTGATTATGGATTTAAACCCATGTTTTGATAATCATTAGGGAAGGTTTTGTTATGTTGTATGTTAAATACTCTGGGGGGTTTTATTTATATTTTATGGTCATGTACATCTGAGTTAGGCACTGATCCCAAGTTGAAACAGAGTCTAAATTTAAATAAGCTAAATAATTTAAAATAAGTTGAGCACTAATCAATTTTTCCAAGGATATTTTGGTTAGATAGTTTGGCACACTCCAAAATTTTAAGAGCTTCTTCATATGATGGAGGGGGGACTTCATTCTCCAGGCCAGTATTGTCCACTTGCTGTAGCCCAATACTGACCAAAATGTCTTGTAATGAGATGTGCATGCCTGGAAGTCGCCGCAACATCTGTTGAATGCTGGACTGTCCGGGTGTGGTGGACACTACAAAGTTGTTTCTGTGGGTGGCTGGCGATGTGTAAGGAGGGGGAGGTGGTGGCAGTTGTGATGGAGAAGATTCCCCTCTGTGGTCAGCTGAAGAGGCTGAGGTTGATGCCAAAGATGATGTTGAGGTAGATGATGATGATTGCACAGATGTCATGGATGACTCACCTAATGACAGAGAAGAGGGGCCAGAAGAAATGGGTGACATATCCTCTGATGAGGTAGAGGAAGTCCCGCTGTCAGAAGAGTTTCTGACTGAATCTACAGAGTCAATGCTACTGACTTGATGCAGCTGAAGGTTGAACTGGCTGGAAGACACTGAATTACCCTGGGAAGAAAATCTGTCCGAAAGTGGGTAATAGAATACCTCAGACCCAGAGATGGTTGAAACAGAACTATTGGAATATCCCTGATTGATGACGCCTCCATCTATAGGCCTCTGACCTGAACTCTCAGCAGTTTGACCTATGTGGCCAGTAGCAGCTTGTGCATTGACCTCATTGTTTGGCAACTGGACATTGGAAGCCCTAAGCCTTCTGGTCTCATCAGTTTCAATTAATATATCCAAGCTGCCTTGACGAGAATGGAGTGGGTCACCTGAGACAGGGGTGACACTGGGACCAAACAGCTGCTCATACGTTGGTGGTGAGTCCTCTGCTGCCTGGCCAGCCTCTGCCGCTGCTGCTGCAGCTGCCGCCGCCGCAGCTGCTGCCCTCTCCCTTTCTTCTCTTTTGGACCTCCTCAGCTGAATGATGAGAACGCAGATGAGAGGGACGATGACGGAGAGGCCAGCAGCCATGGCGATGAAGCCTCCATTGACCTTGAGTGGCTGGTCTGTGGTCGCTTGGGTTTCCGTTGTATCTGGTGATAAAAAGAAAAGAGTAAACTCTCAATGTCACTGACATAATGATCTAGTTCTCGTCAATGAAAAAAACAACAACAGTAAAAGAAATTATTTTTAAGAAATTGACGCAACTTTCATATTTATATATTATACATGTCTCTGATTGCAGATAAAACATTTTTTCAATGTATTTAGAAAAAGTTTTGAGTGTAGGTGTGTGCGTGTTAGATTACTAGGTCTATCGGAAAATACTACGATTGGTACGAGCCGAGAATATATAAAGGTATATGTAAGTCTGGATCACAGACCTATATATATGTGGTCTGGATATTGTTGTTTGTTTTTAATTAACAATATAAAATGTATCCTTTTGACTTAGACACAGGATCAATACCAAGCAGTGGAATTAGTTTTAGTTTTGTTCTTTAACCCTAACCCTACTTTAAATGCATATAATTTTATTCGGAAAAAGTCAACCAGCAGACATCAAAACATGCGGCTCACCATTTCGTTTGTTTTGTGACAGCTGCGGGGGTTCCAGAAAATGAAACAATCTTTCCCAGAATCCCATGCTCTTAACCCGTAGAGTTTCAGATAATCCAAAAAAAAATTCCCTCAGTTTGTACATTCACAGTACAAAATAATCTATCATGTAAGTAAAATCCCAGTAAAATTCAATGTATTAGACAAGGTTTAATGAGAAATGGCCTAAATCCTGATCATAACCACCACAGTGCACACTTCAAACAAAATCTAGTTGTGTCCTATGTCAATCTAAACTAAGAACTAAGCTGCCATTAACAGAAGTATAATACACATAAGTTTTCACTCCATTCAAACAGTCTATGTGCTCCACTCCACTTAACAACCTTTGGTAAGACCAAAGTCATTTTAGTGACAGCTGTTAATACCATTAGACCAGCGATGTTTACTATTACACTCAGAGGCGAAAACACGCAAAGGCCAAGGAATCACCTGTCCACGATATAACAGATTTTAAAAATAAAGAATGTCGTGAAAACAAAACAAAAAACCAACCATGGCGTTCTTTATGTCTCTTCCTTTATTGAGATCTTAGCCTCGACCTCCAGCCTCAAATGTACAACAAAAACAAAAATGTCATGTTTCTACTGCTATTGAACGTGTAGCCAGCGATCGAATGCAATATTTCCTATCTTCTGGTTTAAAACACAACATGCTTATAAATGTTTGACCAGAGCTGCAGTTTGAAATCATTCGCAAGACAGAAAGACGGCAACCTCCCAGAGATTTGTGCACATTTTATTTGGAAAAAGTGTTTTCGTTAATCAATATTAAGTCGTTTTATTCGAGAACTAAGACACTTAATCCAGTGGTTGTACAACTTTTGATCTCTTGATACATTTCATTAAAGAAACTGTAAGTCTTTTAATGATTGACGTTGACTTTTGTTAAGGGCCTGCGAGTGTATGCAATCACGAATGTAAAAATATTGATCACTACAAACTATTGTTAATTATGTTTCTTTTGATTTCTTTAATAGTTGAAACTTGCAGTTAAGACTAGACGCCTCGCCTAATGTAAGTTGAGGCTAGCGGGCTAGTCAAATTGTAACAGTTGAGGCTTGTAGGCTAGTCAAATGTAACAGTTGAGGCTAGCAGGGTAGTCAAATGTAGCAGTTGAGGCTAGCAGGCTAGTCAAATCTAACAGTTGAGGCTTGTAGGCTAATCAAATGTATCAGACAGTTTTTTGCCGGCTAGTCAAATGTATCAGTTTTTTGCAGGCTAGTCAAATGTATCAGACAGTTTTTTGCCGGCTAGTCAAATGTATCAGTTTTTTGCAGGCTAGTCAAATGTATCAGACAGTTTTTTTGAACCCCAGCCTACTGAGTGCTCGACCCCACCCGAAAACAAAAATGGAATTTAAATCGAAAAAAAAAACAAAATAGCATGGATCCGAAACTTTTTAACTCCCTGAAAAAATCTCAAAAATCTCATTTCTATGTTGGCAACATGACGTTCGAAATAGTCAGAACTTCTACTGTCGGTTTTCTGTTACATTGACTTTTAGTCATATTATTATTAGAAAAGACTTAGAAGTAAAAAATTTTTGTTGTAAAAAAAAAAAAAAAAACGCACTTCTAACAAATGTATTTTATCATTTTATGTGTTCACCACATTGATATTTCCAAAGCGTGTGCAGGGACGCCGTCAAATGTGTCTTTGTCTCTTTCTGAGTATTTTATTCAGTACATCTATGAATGTCTACCCACGCCGCTGTTTTATGATATTCAGGGAATGTGATCAGTTCCTGTAAATACGC